GGTTTGAAACTGAGAAACAGACGGCAGAAACAGAAGGTACGGCTACTGATGATTCGCCTCAAGAAACATTGCAGCCCAGTGTACCAACTGGCAGCGATGAAGATTCGCGATGCCAAGTGTGCCATGACGCATTCGAACAATTCTATAATGAGGAAAAAGAGGAATGGCATTTGAGACCAGCAGTAAATTACGAAAACAAGAATTATCATCCGCTATGTTTGGAAGATTATAAGGTTCGTATCCTCTTCATTCTAATTAATGAATATGTTGAATTTTGTTTTCTTCAATATGTCGATGTTATATACTCCATTAACAAAATTATCGTTTGTTGCATTCTTACAAAAAAATAAATAGGAAAAGAATCTAGCGGTACGTGATTATCTCAATAATTCTTATTCGTGGCACATTGTTTATAAGTTTTGTTTATAATAATAAAAAAGGCAAACGTAGAATAAGTAATAGCTACACTTTTACGTATTTCCGTTTACAATTATTTAAAGTACATATAAGAAATTAATTAATTTAATTAGTTTTTTCACAATATACATTTATAAAAATTAAGACATTTTTACAATTTCCTTTTCATTTTTACATATATTTCACATTGTTCTCACTCGCACTTGCAATTGGCTTGAATTTGAAAAGCAATGTTATGGCAATAATTTGAAAATTTTTATTATGTAAATTTATTAACTAACTGACTTATCAGATTTTTTTATCAACATTAAATCCGTACGTTTTAATCATTTTGATTTATTATTGAAACTTTAGAGATCGTTAGAAAAATCAGCGTTGACGCTTGAGGAGACAGTTACGGAGGTAGAGGAAAATAAAGTAGAATGTTCCGAAGAAACGCCCGGCGATGAAATTAAACAGGAAGAATCTGACGCAGAAGTGTCGAATAAAGAGCACCAATCTGCGGGAAATTTGAACGAAGTAGAATTAAACGTGCTAAAACTCTTAGATATTGCAGCGTCAAAGAATAAAGAAGAATCCGATAAGGCGGATAATTCCGAAGTTCCGCAGGATGTTACTGAAGAAAAAGAGAAAGTGGAAAGCGCCAATGAGGAGAATAACACGGATGAGGGTATCACGGAAGATGGCGAAAAAGATGCACCTGCAGTAAATAAAGAAGACGAGTCCACAGGTGAAAGTGCACCAGTTTCTTTTGAAAATATTAAGATTAAAGAGGAACCATTGGATGACGATGACATTGACGAACAACCCGAAAGCGAAATATTCGATTTCGCCAACGTGGAAATCAAAGAAGAACCTATGGAACCTGAACCAGGTATGTGTGCCCGTCTTAAATTATCGATAAATAAATTATTTTTACAAGAATTCTATGATATTCTATTCTTAGATCCCGAACAAATTGTGAATGAATCCGGTACGGTTGATACGACGTATGCGGCAGTGAAAAGTTCCATCGATGGAAATGTAGAACTGGACTCGACGCCAGCGGCTATTCCTGCGGCCCCATCGCGGATCAAGATCAATATTACTAAGCCGCTGAATACCAACAAAGAGCCGGAAGAGAATAAAGAGAAGGAGAAAGTGACAGTCGAGACGCCCATAGAGGAAAACGCGGAACAACCATTAGTGGCAGCTTCCATTAAACCGAGTTTACAGGGTAGGAAGCTATCGAATTTACCTCCCGTAGAGAAAGGGCAAGAATTATCAGGACTCTGCTCTATAATGTAAATAGCGTATGTACAAAAATCGTTTAGGGATGGATCTATATGAACGCGAATGTATAAAATACTAGATTTATGTTTAGATAGAACACAATCGATTTCTAACATATTTACACGTTGTACATCATAAATTTATACAACTTGTGCGACATGATAATGTGATTTTCACAGGAGTCCCGTAAAACGTTTCTCGTTCTATCTAATATGCCGTTTACCTATTCTCATTTAGATAAATAAATCAGTAAACTTAAATTAAATTTAATTGGTAAATTAATTTAAATTTATGAGTTAGGCGCGGTTTATTCGAAAGTACGAATAAAACTATTAATTTTTGAGTCACATCAATTATGAATTCAATCATGTCGTATAAGTTTAAAAAAAAAAGTGTGAAATGTGTGCAAGTGTGGATCTTAAGTATTAACATCTCGAAATGGAGGCAAAAAAAAGAAAAGTAGAGCTGTAAATATTTTATGTAATTTAGAAAGATGTGTAGTAGCATTCCTGCGTGAGTGAATGTATTATTTAGCAGCATGCTTTGTGATAACAGGGACTATCACAAATTTACTGATAATTTACCGTACTGAAAATTTCAAGTACTATATCCGTACTTGAGTTTAATGATGTTTTATGTTCACTAAAAAAATTCCAAGTACTGTTCGTACTTGTGCAAATTTGACGGTGATTTGCACTCACCTGCAACGTTAAGTACTATTTGTACTTTTGCGAAATGCGACAAACTCTTCGAAATGAATGTTCGTTAGGGGGAAAAGAACAAAATTCATTTCAAGGTGTACAAATGTGATATATGGGTTATCTACTTGTAATATAGCTATAAATCATCAACGGAAAAACAATGACGACAAAAAAAATGACGAAACTATTATCGCTATTAGATATGCATTATTTTGTTGTATAAAAGAAGACTTGTTTATTACAGGTTTGACTTTCTTTTAATTAACCTTTCTACTATATCCTTTATAATTATAGCTTTGAAACTACTTAGGATATAACTTCCAATTCATAATTAGGAATACTTGAAATAATAAAGACATTAATAAAAAGTTCATATTTTTGTTGTTATATCTCAATATTCAATAAACTGTGCATCCAAACTCGAACTACTATTCAATTTACTCCAACTTTACCTCCAAGAAATTTAGAAATGTCCCACGAACCATCCTTGAATCATCATATTTATCAATCATCCGAGAAAACTGCATGAATTGTTTGTGAATGATTTGCAAAAAGACTTTTGTACAAAATATACGACATTGTTTTTCCATTTGACAGATTATGCTCATTTCGCTGCATAAGTGCGCAGTTGCATTCCTTCGTTGGGAATAAATGAAGTAACACAACAACCTGAAAACTTTATTCATAAATTGCAATTGTGTGGCCACCTGGGGAAAGGCACAGTGTCCTTGATATTGTTGATCCCCAAGGCACATTGCAGAAATCTATCAAAACCCATTCCAAAGCCACCTGTTGGTACATTCCCATATTTACGTAAATCTAAATACCACGAAAGATTTCCCGTGGGAGGAAGCTTTAATTTTAATTTTTTGTAATTATCTTCACGTATACTGCCTCCTACTAATTCGCCAACATCTGGCATTAGCAGGTCCAATGCTGCTACCTTTTAAGAGAAAACGTATATAAAATGTGTATTTTACTCAATTATTAACAAGCGATCTTTAAAAATTATGCATTATTTGTGCTGACTCACCTTAGATGTATCATCTGTGCACTCTTTCATATAAAATGGCTTAATATCTTTTGGCCAGTTAATTACGAAAACTGGCACTCCGTCATTATACTTCACTAGAAACAATTCGTGCTCTTTTGAAAATGCCTCTCCATACTTGATGGGTCGTTGCAATTGATTCGCATGGTCATTTAATACGTTAAATGCATCCTCGTACGTTAAACATGTAAATGATTTAGTCAACCATTGCGGCTCCTGAGCACCGATTGTATGCAAATCCGAAGCACCTCTTTCAATTAAACCCTTAGTAACCTCTTTCACTAAAAGCTCAACTTCGTGTATCAACTCCTCAATATGTGCGAGGAAAGCTATCTCCGCTTCTAACATGTAAAATTCTGATAAATGCAATCTGGATTTTGAATTCTCTGCCCTGAATGTAGGCCCAAAAGTGTATACTTTTGTAAGAGCTCTGAAAAAATTCTAACAATACATTGCATCCCATAATACAATGTGATCGAAGATACATAAAGATACATGCACAGTGACAATATATATTGGAATAGTGACATATATACATGGAGGATAACACATCAAAGGATTTAATCACCTTGCTACCGCCTCTAGATGCAATTGTCCAGAAACAGTGAGAAAGGCGGTCGTATCGAAGTAAACTTCATCCTCAGGTTGACCTTCCCTCCTCATACTTTTCAAGATCTCTGTGGACTGCGGCCTGACGAGGAATACTTCACCCGCGCCTTCGCAATCATTGGACGTCAACATCGGAGTGTGCACACTCGTAAATCCCCTATTTCTTAAATGATCGGCGATCACCGTGGAAGCGAGATCGCGCAATCTTAACAGGCTAGAAAAATTTCGCGTTCTCGGCCGTAGATGCAAATATTGCCTGATATAATCCGAATCATATTTCTTTCTTGGTGCAAAGGGATATTCGTCTTCTGCGACATTACATGTGCCGATTACGTGTACCTTGGTCGCGTGCAGCTCAGTCTTGCCGTCGGAAGTCAAGGCTAGCTCTCCTTCCACGCTAACACTGCTCCCGTAACGTAGATCGTCCGGCTTCAACATCTTTGGTATGACAACTTGTAACATTTCGCAAGTTGATCCATCCGAAATGTCAGCAAAGACGTTGGCTTTCATCTTTCGCAGGGCACGTACCCATCCCTAAGTGATAAAGATCAATACATACTTATAAGTGTAAATGGATTAATCTAAATTCAGCTGTACATTATTTATATTAGATTCTATTACAGATTCATTTGTACACTTCGAAACGTATCGGACAGTGACTGAGGACCGATTTATGATTACGTTGGGCTATCTCTTTTTTCCTCAGTATCATTGATATATTTCGGAGTGCATCTCTGCATGTCGCAAACACAACGAGACCCAAAAAGCAAGCAACGCGTGAGCGTTGTCTGAGCCGATATCAACTTTGTCATGACGAAACTCTAGCAAGTTTGTGTAATAGAATATGGCCAGAGGATAACTTCCAGAACTTTCTCAGTATCAGTAGATCGGCGCACAAGACTCGGAGCATCACAAATGACCAAAGGTAACTTGACCGAGTGTGATGTCCGGAGGCCAACGAGGACGACCTCCTCCCCATCCTCTTTCCCGTTCTCTCCCAGACACCGTCCGCGGATACTCTTCGAACCTCCGTGTTACTTTGCGATGCGAAGAGTCGCGTAATAGAGCACGTCTAACCTGTACTTTGGCGAGCTTCCCAACCGTCGCTCTCGACGTGGTATCTAAAATTGACGTGCATTTCTGTACACCGCGTTTAACGACGTCTGTCTTAGGCGGTTGCAGTCTCCCGATATACCTCGTGAACATTTCCGAGGGCGGCCCGACTCTCCTCTCAATCGGATCCCGGGGGGAAAATGATGCCTACTTGCACGAGAAAATTTAAAATGGCGTCCGCGCGTCCGCGCGGATTACGCGCGACCGCGCGAGGTGAGACCAACCGGAAGCGAGACGAACGTAACGCCGCGTCTTTCTCACGCCCCACCCGTGAAAGCGATGAATGCGAAATTCAATCTAACATGTCATTTCTATTATTTCCATCTATAAATTAACTTTAATCTCGATTTAATTCACTCTTTAGCTTTCTCTAATTCATAGAACTAGAAAAGAATAGAAAGTAAATTAAACCTGAATTAATCTAATTTTATTTATACCAATGTGTGTTACCTTTAATCTCAATTTAACTTACTTTTCACCTTTTTTTAAAATGCCACATAATTTTACGATTTAATAAATTCATTCCGATTTTTTTTATATTTATATAATCACAGGAAAATATATGAAAAAAGTATAATAGTTGAGCGTTAATACAATGCACATATCACGTTGCATATTCTTAGATAATAAATGGGTTGCTATCTCAGGCTTTATTTATTAATTGATATTTTTATAATCGAAAGCAGTAATAAGCCAACATCTTATCAAAGTTGTTAGGATACATCTCTACTTTTTTTAAATATTTCGTTTAAAATAGCTATAAATAATCACATCATAATTAATATATGTAATCTAATAAAAAAATGTTTCAAGTTCGGTATCCTCCGCTCTTTCGTCTTCAGTTTTAGCAGCTAGACTTTCAAGATCGGGCATAGTCGCCTCTACAGTAATTGGATAAGATGCTGCTTCTTCTTGACCCACTTCATTATCCATATCGTTGATAGGAAGCTGAAACAACATACAACAATATCATACTTAACATCGATTTGTGACATTCATTTTACTTCGAGAGAAATTTAAGAGAATACTTTTTGAAAAGAAATTTAATAGATATACTTTTTGATTTCCTGAAGATTCAGGTCTTGATTGATCGGCTTCCGCTAAGTCCTCGTTATAACCAGGTTTAGCATTAGAAGTGGAAGGGACAGCACTCGCACAATCAAGTGGGAATGTTCCCTAATGATATTAAAACTAATAATTTAGACAATTTCTTATATATCATAAGCTCTGTATTTCTATAATTTTTCTTTATTATTCACCGTAATTTCCAAATGTTCTATTAATGGTACTTGGGATGAAGCTGGAGAGGAGGCAGTATCCACATGAGACGTCGTGACTAATTCAATCATAGATGTATGATTTTCCATAGTAAAAGTCACACCAACGTCCGAGTCGTCATCACTGGAATGGCAACTCTCGCTTGGAGTTAAGTCAGGTGCTTCGTTCTGCAAGAAAAAAATTTTAATTCATAACTATAGAATTTCAATATTATGTGGAGTAATTTGACATATCCGTATTATATACTAACCAATGGATTATTCAATGTTTGTTTGTCTTGCAAAGCGCGTAACGATCTCAACAATTGAGATCGCAATCTGTGATCCTCGCTGATGGCTTTAATTTCTCTCAAAATAATTATTAAATAATCGGGTCGTCTTTTATTTACTGCGATGAGCGAACTAATTGCCTCTTTCATTTCTGAACTGTTTAGTATAAAATCAGAAACATATTGAATGTATAACGATTATAATAGCTTTGATAAATCTCGAAAAGGATTCAAACCTTAGATTATTAAATAGATTATCATCATTCGTTGCAGATGGTAATCGAAAAGAACCGTGAGCTTCCTCCCAAATATTATCAACTTGTTGAGATACCTCGTTTGCTATGATATTACTACGAATAGCAGCATTTTCTCTATCCTGTTGTTGTAAATTTGATGGTAATTGTAGGTTCAATGAATATTGCGTTTCTGCGCCAGTTAATGGTAAAGGTAAGTTATCAGGTCCTTGTTCTCGATTCCGCTTGTCTTTCCTAGAATAAATAAAATATTATACAAGGATTATACATATACACGTATATCTTTCTTACATATGTATATATATATAGATAATTAAAAAAATATATATATTTTTTTTAATTATCAATTTAATTGCAAATTTTTATATTGCATACATTAGTGAACTGTTGACGCTACTTCCACTTGTATTCGTCGTGTTTGCGGAACACGCTGAGTTTGCTATAGCCGTTGGAGGATCAGTCATTGTCTTCACATTTCCTGAGAGCAAATTTTGTCGGGAGTAACTGCAAATTAAGAAAAAAGACATATAATATTAAGGCGATTATACATATAAATATTTTTATGCAAAAATTAATATATTTTATACCAAAATCAATTATTAATCAAAAAAAACAAAATTCTAAATTAAAACAATTGATTAAGGAACGATTTCTTCTCTTGAAATCGTTAAATCACAAAAAATTGCAATGTTAAAACAATCGTTGTCATTACATGCATTAATGTTAGTCATAAAAAATTACATTGATGATGTGTATTCAATCCTCTATCCAATCTCATAAAATCCATTTACATACCTATATATTACCTACCAATGTTTCTCGATTTATTTTCGTTTGTATTAACCACTTATATTATATATTTGATTTTATAATGTAGGCTATGTGTGCTTAAATACAATCTTAAACAAGGGTAATGATAAATAAGAAATATACGACAGAAAATGTTGCAAAGGTAGATTGTGATGTTTATTACTAAATGAAATGTGATACATTAGATTTACAGAAAAATGGAAAATGGGTGTGATCAATCTGGTAACTATAAAATATCATGGACAAATATGGAATAACAAAAAAATATAGAATTACATATCTCATATCAATAATTGCATATCTCTATCATATTAAGTCATATTAATGTTGCTTCACAATGATTCGTGATAAATCGAAATTATTATATGAAATTAAGATTATTATATATAGTTATTAAAATTTAATAGTCAATAGTTAAATTTAATAGTAATAGTAGTAATTTAATATTTGTCTCTCTTCTTTTATTACAATAATCACACTTGAAATCAGATTCAATAAATAATACTCAATAAATATACTCTTAGAAAAAAAATTTATACTCAACACAAATAAAAATTTAATTATGAAAAAGTAAATAAATATACACAATAAATAAAGTTTGTCCTTTTCACAAGTCTACCCATTTTACAATACACAAATGTTGAAATCAATTTATTAATAAATCAAATCTGTAACAGGGCACATATCTGTCAACTTATGATTCAATCTCTTTACCTTCGAAAATTATCCCAGTAGTTGTTTGCTCTATTACCAGGAGGAACTTGGTTGTTCAATTGTTGCTGTTGTTGCTGCTGCAAATTAGAGCTAGTAACTATTGGAGTATGCGATAATGCCGCTGAGGAGTTAGGCAGCGATACGAGGTTTGGTAAGGACGAACTAGGAGGTAAAGTCGCATCCAACGTGTCGCCGAGATTGTGAACATTGCGGCTCAAATTAGAATATTCTTCCTGATTTTCAGCATTGTTAACGCGAGCCTGATTTTGCGGTCGCACTTGTATTTGCAACTCGGCAATAGCAGAACGCATAGATTGTAAATCGCGTTGCTGCGCCCACAATAGCTGACAACATTGCTGCATTGTTGTACCCATCATTTGCAACTGATGAGCTTGCGAACCCAATAATAATTGTCGATAGTATTCAACCGTGGCTACAACAAAACAAATATTTTTTTTGTTTTTATTTTCTAAAAATTTGTTATCTTTCAGTTAACCATTTTATCTTACCATTTTGTCCCTGATTAATAGGCGGAGGTGGTAGCGGATATGTCCAGAAATTTCCAACAAACCCACCATTCTCAATAGCAGCAGGTGGACCAATATCTAATAAATTTTCTGATGTAGATATACCGTCTACACTTTGCTCGTTAGAACCACCAGCACCTATACAAAACATGCATGATAAAGATATATTACTTAATTTCATCATATAATATAATTACCTGTAGTGGCGGAAGATGGCCAGACATTTGCAGGCGTACTAGTATGACTACCTTGCGAACCAGAGCTTCTTTGGCTATTTTGATCTAACGCTTGAGCATCCCGATTGGAGGGTTGAGTTGGTTCCTATTTATTTGAAAGAGATATGTAATCGCATGGCTATATAAAAAAATTTTTGAAAATGTAAAATCTATAAACCTTTCTCATAAGATCATCAAGTTGAGATTTTTTTGCTTGCTTAGATTGAGTCTCTGTACTAGTATTACAACTTTGTTTTTTTTCATTGCCATTTATAGGTATAAGTGCTGGAGGTGGGCGAGAGACTGAAGATGAAGAAGTAGGATGAGCAGTTGTGAATAATGGTTGCTTCAAACGTTGTAATTCGGTTCGTGTAATTTGAAGCAAGGCCGCTTGTTCCTTAAGCTCCGATGTTAGGGTCTAGAAAAAAATATAAAATACTATAGCTTACATTATGTTGAAATATATTACAAAATTTTCCATGTGTGATACACATACTCGTATATCTGAAATATTACATTCCAAAGTTTTAAGTTTTCCGTGATTAGCATCGTTACTTCGACAATCAAACGAGGCGTTCGTCGCATCCTCGGTAATCCCATCCATTGTGTTTTCTTCGTGCCCGTCAACGTCTGGTTCAGGTTCAGAAGAAGAGTCGATAGAATCGCGAATTTTCACACCATCTTCCATTAAAGCCTTTATATGTGCAAGTTGTGTTCTCATTGCTTCCAATTCTGCAGCTTTATCTTTAATTGTTCTCGAACCTTCTGAACTCTGAATAATTAATACAAATACATAACAATAAATAATATCAACAAACTATAAGATATGTCTCACAAATATGAAATTCATATGACAATAACAAATAGGATATACAAATAATCTTTGCTTAGCAAATATATGTTATTATATACAAAATTGTTAGTAAACAGAAAATAGAGTTAAATATAAATCAATTCTATCTCCTCTTATAAAATAAAGATTGATTAAATTAATATTATAAAAGATAAAACTGACATGATGTGTGTGTGTGTGTCCGTGTGTGTGTGTGTGTGTGT